ATCCATTCTGCAGCTAGGTATATCAGCGGTATAGTTGTAGCACGAATGGGTCAGCTTGATCGGGGATAGACCACGCTCTCGCAGAATACCAGCGTAAAATAGCTTATTTTACTGGAAACGAGGCATTCCATCTTATTCCTGCATTGTCATTCCTACGAATGACAATGCATTGTGCATTTTCATTCGTAGTCTAGAATAGATGTAGATGTCTATGTGCCACGGCATCCACTTTTCATCAGGTGAACTGTGTGCTCGTTTGTCACCCTTATCCTATACTAGCTGTGCCCCGCGGTTTCACCCGCGTCATAACGTGTCGGTGGTACGCGACATGACCTAGTTCAAGCATTTTATAATTGCAATTAAATATTTTATTTGATAGCAATGGATGGAAAAATTGGCATAATTAATGGAGTACTTTTATCTGTCGGCATATTATGTATGATGTAGAGTGAAGGTAGGTTTTATCCACTTTCCCTCCCCCTCCCGGTTGAGCGTCCTCCCCCCGCACGTTCTCACCGGGCGGCTAGGGTTTATGCGTCGTTCGCGCGCCCAGCCAAGTATTGAATTATTTTAATTTTACATTATCTCTTAAACTATGCGTCCAAATAACATGGTATAAAGAACAAAGTTTATCTTCATAAAATTGTCTTGATGATGAAGTAATTTTCGTTCGTAAGGATAAATAGGCCATGCCTAATAATAACGCTCATTAATCACTTTTATATTTTCAATATTTTTTTGTCACAAAATACCTATTTATGGCTCATGTATAAGAAATAGACATATGGTATCGCGAACTTTTTTTAGACGGAGTAAAGATCTATATTTTTCTAAAACATTGTATTTACGTATCCCTAACGATAACACGCGGATAAATAATTTCGGGAGTGCTTTTTCTTCTGACTTGCTTAACAAATATCCATATTTAAGGCTAGCTGAGTGATTTAGCTTAATGTTAGATAGCCTATACTATTCCACATGAATCTGGCTATAATACACAAAAAGAATTTTTCAAATCGGACTGGTAGTTCCAGAGATTAGCGCGTTTAAACAAACAAAAAAACTCTTCCGCTTTATTATATTAGGTATAGATAAAAAAACTTGCATATTTTCATTTTAATAAGAACCCCTAGAATACCTAGAATCCCAAACTTCCTAAATAAACCTAATGCTATTATAATACCTAGTCATTGTGTTTTAATTATATATGTCTGAAAAGTATAATTTTTATCACTCGTTGACTCATTCATGTATGTGACTTAGTAATATTAAATTTGTCATCTGGGCACTCAAGCATCTCAAGCACTGGTTTAAATTCAATAAAAACATCTAAAAAATCAGAAAACATATAAAATAAATTCCAGAAAATATTTACTGAGCAAGAAAAAACGATACAGGGTCACGCACTTAAGTATTTATAACTTTCTTATAAATACTCTAAGGTCATTTATTTTATTAAAATAAACTCCCGATACCATCCACACCATAATGCTTGGCGGTCCACCATTGCGAGAGAGATATATTTGTTTATTTAAAAGGGTGTACCTACAAATGTTACAATTTAACATAAAAAAATGTAAAAGTAAAAATATATTCTTATAATAATTGTACAATTTTGTGTTTACCTGTAAATAAACACCGCTAAGCCATAATTAAAATCTTAATTTACATATTATGTTTAGATAAAAATGCAGAATCGCTGGAGGACCTAAGCATAGTCAATGACCTCAATAGTGTCTCCTAACGGATAGGTCTTAAGATTAACATGGACAAAACGAAGATCATGATGTATAAAGTACATATCACACCTATCCCGGTAGTTGTTGGGAGCTCTAAGCTCGAAGTTGTTGACGAGCATGTTTACCTGGGACATACATATAATAGTCCGACTAGGTAAGGCCAACTTCTACCGAGAGGTCAATCGACGGATTCAACTCGGCTGGGCAGCGTTCATGAAATTACGGAACATCTTTTCGTCAGGTATACCTCAAAACTTGAAAACTAAACTGAACAACCAGCGCGTGTTACCAACATCACGTATCAACCAGTGATGATCTGTGGAACTGAGACGTGGTCCTTCACTGCTGGCCGTATGAGGAAGCTCAAGGTCGCTCAGCGAGCTATGGAGAGGGCTATGCTCGGGGTTTCTCTGCGTGATAAACTTGGAAATGAGGATATCCGCAGTAGAACCAGAGTGACCGACATAGCCCAACGGATTTGTAAGTGGAAGTGAGAGAAGAAGCCGGCCATATAGCTCGAAAAATTGACAACCGATGGGGAAAAAAGGTTCTCGAGTGGTGGCGTGGTACCGGCGGACGAAGTGTAGGGCGTCCCCCCACAAAATGGAGTGACGGCCTGGTAAGACGTGCAGGAAGTCGATGGATGCAGGTGGCTCAGGTCCGTGCTTTGTGGCATTCCTATAGATCTATGTTTGGCAGTGGACTTGTGAAGGGCTGTAATGATAATGATGATGATGATAATTTTTTTACAACACTGAAATGGAAAGTAAACTTACAATCAACCTGATTAAGTGCCTTAACTTCAAACAAAGGAGGTTACAAATGCGTTCGAATTAAAATTTTTGGCATTCTATTAATAATATTGGAAAAAAAAAACCTATTAATCATAATTTAAATACGTTCTCTACAACCGTATAACATTATTTTATGTTTTGCTTAGTTTCCATATGTTTAACTACCTACATAGTTTCAGTTATATCTAAATCCAAGTTCAAGGTCTATTAGAATAGATTATTATACAGTATACACGCTTTTAGTTGCATTGGATATGCCACTGCGTCATTCGTTGCTTGCGATACATATTGCCAATTAAATGGTTGAGACAGTTGGTGTTCGATCCAAATCATGGACTTTTCATTCAATCAGTTGTGTGTTTGGAGCGAGTAATGTTATAGTCTTCATTACATTTTTTCCCCATAGGGTGTCTTATATTTTTGCTACGATTGCAACACTTGGCAGGCGGGCTTAACCATTTTTAGGTTTCCGTAGCCAAATGGCAAAAACGTCCGTCCGTATGTCACAGCCATTTTTTTCCGAAACTATAACAACTATGCTGTTGAAACTTGGTAAGTAGATGTATTCTGTGAATCGCATTAAGATTTTCACACAAAAATAGAAAAAAAAAAAGGTAAATTTTGGGGGTTCCCCATACTTAGAACTGACTCTCAAAAAATTATTTTTCATCAAACCCATACATGTGACGTATCTATGGATAGGTCTTCAAAAATGATATTGAGGTTTCTTATATCATTTTTTTCTAAACTGAATAGACTGCGCGAGAGACACTTCCAAAGTGGTAAAATGTGTCAAATCTAAAATAAGAGAATGATAAAACTAAAAAAAAAATATACGATGTACATTACCATGTAAACTTCCACCGAAAATTGGTTTGAACGAGATCTAGTAAGTAGTTTTTTTTAATACGTCATAAATCGTAAATTATGTTACTTGCTGCTACGGAACCCTTCATGGGCAAGTCCGAATCGCACTTGGCCGCTTTTATTTTTTGAGTTGTTTTCAGGATAATTTGACTGTTGACAAAACATTATAAATTATCCTATTTTTTTGGTTAAATGTTAATTTTACCCATTTATTTCGTTGTATTAAATGTAATTACATTAATCGATATGCATTCGTTATCATAATCGCTAATACCTACGATGCATTCGTCATTCATATCGATAACGTAATAGCGATATATCATTGCTATTATTCCAAAACGTGAGGTGTTAAAAAAATACAATAAAACGTGACAAAACCCGTAAAATTATTATCGTAATATGATGAATGGTATAGGAACGCATAGAAGACGAACAAAGAAACAAATATATTAATTTTTATTTATTACATTAGGTATTATACTCAAGTTAACAAAGACGCACTCAAATCACCCACATATTATGAGAAGGAACGAAGTAGTTTGAACTTTGACTATTGAAGTATGACACGTATCTGTAAAGTGACGTGTAAGTACTTAGATAGTTTTAGATGGTGGCCTCTTGTTTGATTCCGATCATGGCGACATTTTTCTTGATGACCCTTTATACTGGATACGAGGCATTCGATTTTAGTCCTCAGGAGCGACAATGTATCTGCATTTCAATTCGTAATCGAGGCTAGATGGAAATTGTTGTTGCCTTGTCGTGGCGGCTTAGTAGCCGCGGTCTGGTCACCCGCAGTGAACAAAGAGGAACCCTCATGGCTGGGCTGAGGTGAATTGGCCACTCCGAGTGGTCTTGGCGAGCCCACTCCTCATGTGAGTTGGTGGGTTTCAGCGAGAGGAGTGTCCTCTCCCCATACCGCTGCGCGCGAGGTGAGTCGCGGAGGAAGAGGAGTGTTGGTATGGCGATACGCCACTCGCCACCCTACGCGTTCTCTTCAGACAAGGAGCCGACATGGGGCGGCTGGCGTTGGGTGCATGTATGCGAGAACGTTCCCGTGGCCCTGGCAGTATGGGGCGAAGGTGGAACACCATGGGGTATAGTCGGTGCGAATGCGACATATAAACCAATCATGCCCCCGCGCGCGGGCATGCGTAGGCATTTTCCCATGTTAAATAAAAAAGGGACTTCTGGTCGCCTCTGTCATGTTTTTTATGGTATCTAATTTATAATTTTTTTTATCGACACATTTTAATATTGTACCTGAGGCTTATTCTAATATATTTTGGCGGTTTTCAATTTTCTTATCATTTGTTTTTACTGACTCCGCTACCATGTGTTATTCAAGATTCAGTAGTGGTTCTTCTAATAAAATGGCATTTTCCGGTATTAGTTGTTCTTTTTGAATGTTTGTATTTTATTTTTATTTAAACCTTACATCAAAATATGTTCGACTCTTTTATAAATCTCAGGGTGTATTGGTTGACAATGAGAAGATCATAAGGGTTAGGTGACATAGCATTACACTACACTTACTGGATTACATTAGATTTGGCTAACGTTGTCATATTTTAGTATTAAATTATTATTTTTTTCACAGTCGTCACTTCGACCGCTGCTCTCCTGCGCGCCGGTTGCAATGGTGGGTTTCGACCGCGGCGCACACAGCCAGGACATCACCAAAAACATCCAGTACATCACTAACGACAAGGTCAAGCTCACCACTGATCCAAATACCTTAAAGTAAGTTATGTTAACGCTTTAAAGTAAGTCGTGATTGATTGGGTATTTTACACGACGTAAACAAGTTTATTTTATACTGTTATAAATTTTAACTGACAGCCTTTATTTAAAATAATATGAACATCATTATGTAATATTTGTAGCCATGTAGTGGCGGTGTAGGAGGAATATACAGAGATACAGGAGACAGAGGAAACACTGAAACAGGACATGGACAGCGTCATCTTTCTGATAACCATTAATAAAAAAAAACTGCGGTTGTTAACCCACGTAGCAAGCGTGGGTTAACAACTAAATGGCTAAATGCTCCCTATGAGGCAAACTATGGAGGAGACCTATGTTCAGAGGTGGACTTTTATAGGCTGTAATGAATTGATGGACAGGTATTACAAGGTTTTGTTATTTTAGCATGAAATCTCCTTTATTTCATTCTGTTATTGAAAAGTGGAATAAATCTATACCACATATCCCATCACTAAAATGGTCGAATAAAATTTGAACTTCGCAAAATAGATGCACATTTAGCCGAAATTATTATGATCGAAAATGAAAACGATAATGGGGAGAGGGAGGTGGTGATGGCACAGAACACGTTTCATCTTATTGCCATTAGTTGGAATTGTCGCAATTAAAAAAAAAACTAGTTTTTTCTTGAATACGTATTTAGTCGCCTATTTAGCCAACACTTAACAGACGGCTAGGAAGTTTTTTTTCTGCCCGGATACGTTTTCCTGTTTATTATTGTTACTTTCGAGTGACAAACTACCTTATAATAAACTTGGTGACATGACCCATGTAGCAAATGTACTCCTGCAACAAGTTTGAAATAAACTACTGACCTTAAAAAAGTAAACCATAATCTACAGGTGTGATGTCATTCATCAGGACTAATACTTAATGCCTAACAGTTCATAATAACACTAGTCTTTTTTTTATTGGATAAGGGTAACAAACGAACACAGTCCACCTGATGGTAAGTGGTTGCTGTGGCCCATAGACATCTACATCTATCCTCGATTACAAATCAAAATGGTTGAATGCCTCATTTCCAGTAAAAAGGGTCTCCGGTTGTCTACACTCGCCATACGAAACATAACAGGGTTAAGCTGATATTGTAATCTGGTATTCTGTGAGAGCGTGGTCCTTACTCGGTGGAGCCGATCCTTTCGTGCTACAACTATACCAGTAATATAGCTGCAGCATGGCTCTACCGCGTAAAAATCTGCGCAGGACACAGGCTTATAGTGCTCGAGTGTACGCGTAAGCACAGGTGGATTCTCTATTCCCTCACTCTCACAGTAGGATGGGGGCGGCTATCCGACACGACCGGAGATAGATCAGGCGCAAGACCAACGGCTTTTGGTGCTTTACGTGCTTTCCGAGGCATGGGGATGAAACACCGCCAACTTATTGACTCCAAGCTGCTACTGAGAATTTCTTACAAAAAACCCAATAACTGATTTTGGCACGACCCAGGCTTCGAACCTGGGACCACATGATATAAAATCACGTTGACAACGGAGGCAGTCATCTCATTGTATAAATAATAGATACACAAATGAGCTTCATTTGCATTCGGGCGGCAGTCAGTAAGCCACTTGCTCAATAGGTTAATCCATTGTTATTGTCATCGCTATGGGACCTGCCCTAATTGAGGCGGTCTCGATTACTAATTGAGCTCTGTAATAGTAGCTGAGCTGTTTCAGCCGCTGTGCGTACCAATCATGTCGGTATATAGGTATATTTATTGACGTATTCCCTCAGTTATGAATAGAGATCCAGACTTTTCAGTGCCCAGCTGTGGTGCCATTACATACTGTTGCTTTACATGTTTACTTACTTTCGTGATGATCTTCTTGGCCTTGACCTGTATCTTGACCTGACATGCGTGTTAGAGCCACGCTGCAGCTATATAATGGTTGTAGCACGAATGGGTCAGCTCGACAGGGGTAGGACCACGCTTTAACAGAATACCAACGAGTAACACCAGAATGCTGCTGTGCTGTGTATGTGCTGCGTATGGTGAACGTAGAGAACTGCAGCCCCTTTTTACTGGAAACGAGGCATTCCATCTCAGTCCTCAGGGGTGACAACGCATCTGCATTTTGATTCTTTATCAATAATAGATTGAGATGTCTATCCACTTACCATCAGGTGAACTGTGTACTTGCTTGTCACCCTTATCTATACATATATACAAATAAATAAAATTTAAGTGTCTGTTTGTAATGTCAAAATTAAAGTTTTTTTACTAAATGCATATGAAAGCAAATACGGTACTTATAACTAAAATACAATTTTTAAAATTTTTGTCTGTCTGTCTGTCTGTTTGTTCCGGCTAATCTCCGAAACGGCTGGACCGATTTTGACGGGACTTTCACTGGCAGTTAGCTGATTTAATAAGGAGTAACTTAGGCTACTTTTATTTTGGAAAAAGAATTAGGGTTCCGCGCAAAAACATAAAAACCCTAACACGCGAGCGAAGTCGCGGGGAACAGCTAGTTCATAAGTAAAAAATTATAGCGAGTAACGACAACCTCAGACTTATAACTGGTTGCAAGACATTCCATCTTGACTAAGATCTTATGACGTATCTGCATTTTGATTCATAATCGAGGAGGTCCTTTAGGTCACTACATCCACTTATTATCTATTGTTGATACAATAGATAAGCGGAAGTTGCAATATACACGCTAGGATCACCTAGCCTTTGGCTTAGCTTTAGCCTTTAACTTACACATCTTAAGGTGCAATATTAGGTGTAATAAATACACAAAAGGGTTTAAAAATAACGTCACTAATTCTACTTTTTTCGGAATTCTGAATGTTTTCTCTAATGTTGTTCCTGATAGAAATTTTCGCTTACGTAAACATTACACTTTTTAAGTCCGAGCCAATAAACATTGCTCTGAGATCCGGGCAACTTCAGCTTGCAGTTGCAACATCAGCTTATAATGCACTGCAAGCTCCAAGATTAGAATTACGAATAGATAAGGGCAAAGTTAAATTATAAGTAAAAATTTATCATTGCCATATAATATTTTTATATACGGGCTATTCTTAAAAGAGTATCCAAATTTTATCATCTTCATCGTTACAGTCACAAGTCCACTGCTGAACATAGGCTTCCCCCAAGGAATGCCACAAAGCACGGTCCTGAGTCACCTGCATCGATCGACTTCTTGCATGTCTTACCAGGTCGTCACTCTTATCTAGTGGGGGGACGCCCTACACTTCTCGAGGCTGCCACTCGAGAACCGTTTTCCCCCATCGGTTGTCGGTTCTTCGAGCTATATTGCCGGCCCATTGCCACTTCAGCTTACTAATCCTTTGGGTAACTATGTCGGTAACTCTGGTTCTACGCATCTGCATCACGCAGAGAAACTTCGAGCATAGCCCTCTCCGTAGGATGCGATGAGCGACCTTGAGCTTCCTCATACGGTCAGCAGTGAAGGACCACGTTTTGTATTTAAGTTCAAATACATATATAATAATATCCCGTTATTGCAGTTTAATACGAGTAAATAGGGCTTCTACTTTTATTTGAAATTATCCCAAGTGGAATGTGACTTATGGGCAACAACTACGCGTACGCGCGCTCCTCTGTGTGCGTTTTACAGACGTGACCAAGCGACCGTTACGAATGTGTGCGTGCGTAGTAAAATAGTAGGCGTTATTTATGAATGACGACCATCAATTAAAATAATGCATTACCACGCATTCTAATTTTAAAAGTTAATAATTTAAAATTAAAAATTTTCTACAACCGACTTCAATATAAATTATTAAGAATAACTCAAAAACTATTGGTCAGACCTTGATCAAATTTATATGGGGCTACATGAGAAGCACCAGCTTTCAAATAAAAAAAGAATCATCGAAATCGGTTCTCCTAGAAAAAGTTATGATTATCCTATTAAAAGTGACGACATAAAAAAAACATACAGTCGAATTGAGTACCGTCTCTTTTTTGAAGTCGGTAGAAAAGAACAGAATGCTTGCGATTTTTTTAATTAATTTTTCTTCACCATTCGCCTATGTTACTTATTCTGAACCTTCTCTGCAAAAAATGTCTGTAAAAATCTGGGTGTATATTACATAATTTAAAATTAAAAATTTTGTACAGCCGACTTCAATATAAGTTATTTAATATTTAAGAATAACTTAAAAACTATTGGTCTGACCTTGATCAAATTCATATGGGACCACACGAGAAGTACCAGCTTTCAAATAAAAAAGAATCATCGAAATCGGTTCACCCAGAAAAAAGTTCTGAGGTAACACACATAAAAAAAAAAACGAAAAAAAAAACATACAGTCGAATTGAGTACCGGCTCCTTTTTGGAAGTCGGCAGAAAATAACCCTGTATCATGACATTGCCTTATCTCTTAAAGAAGAAAAATCTTTAAAACACATTACTGTTTCTGTACAAGAATAGCTACGTTTTCAAAAACTGGCTTCTTTATGAGGATAGAAGTTGTGTAGTCTGCATACGAAACGATTCGTAATTACTGACTTTTTATCTTCTTTGTGTTATTTGTAGTAAGATATGTAGAAAATATATAAATAGGAAATTATTGTATATAGAAGAAATATTTTTTTAAAAGACGGACATAAGCTCATGCACACAGTAGCATTAAGCTGCTTTTTACGCTGGTATTCTGTGAGAGCGTTGTTCGTGTTACAAACATAAAACATAGCTACAGCAAGACTCTCTAATAACTAAAATCATCTGGGAAAATTAACCCCAAGTTTTTGATCTGTCAATCATATTCTAAGGCTATGCCGTTTAGAGTAACATTGAGTACATGTTGAAAGTCTAATCACCGTATTCTGTGCGAGATCCACACTCATAT